TGGGGCCGCACCCCTCCCCCACCCCGCGCTCGGGCAGCCTGTGCATGCAGCCCAACAACATCATGGGCATCGAGAACATCTGCGAGCTGGCCGCGCGCCTGCTCTTCAGCGCCGTCGAGTGGGCCCGCAACATCCCCTTCTTCCCCGACCTGCAGATCACCGACCAGGTGGCCCTGCTGCGGCTCACTTGGAGCGAGCTGTTTGTGCTCAACGCGGCGCAGTGCTCCATGCCCCTGCACGTGGCCCCTCTGCTGGCCGCCGCCGGCCTGCACGCCTCGCCCATGTCCGCCGACCGGGTGGTGGCCTTCATGGACCACATCCGCATCTTCCAGGAGCAGGTGGAGAAGCTCAAGGCCCTGCACGTCGACTCGGCGGAGTACAGCTGCCTCAAAGCCATCGTCCTCTTCACATCAGGTGAGTGTGCTCGGGGGAGAGAGGGCCTGGCGTGGGGGGGAGCAGAGGAGAGGGGTCGGAGAAGGCAGGAGAGATCACTAGGAAACTGTAAGAGCAAAATCAGAGGATCCAACCTCCCAGTTTCCCCCCCCCACACACACACACACAGCACCCCTCCTCCCCCGAAAAAAACTAGGGTGGGGTTAGGTTAGTAAAACCCACCCTTTTTGCAAATCAATGTGGCTCCCACATTTATGGGAAGAGCTGTAGATGGCTGGAGTTCTATAGACACTACATTCCATTATTCCCAATGTCTGGTTTGTGCTCCTTGTGGTTCCTTGGATAACGGGAGGTGGGGAGGTGGGAGAAATAGAGATACCATAGATCTGCGGGTGTGAGAATGACAGAGAGAGAGAGAGAGAGAGAGAAGGAGGGAGGGAGGGGAAGAGAGAGAGGATGTGGTTTTCTTGTGGCACTTTATCTGGTAAGAAGGTTTTCCCGGAGAGTGTTAAAAGGAGGGCATAGGCACAAATAAATCATAATCAATACTGATTTATTGCTGCCTGATTTCCCCTTATCGGAAACCATTCATGTTTGCAGTTGCAGAGGTTATTGAGGATCGTAAAAAATGAGCTCGATCTAAAAGAGAAAGGCAAAAAAAATAACCCCAAACCCAAGCCCAACAATAGAAACAGCAAATTGCAGGGAGGGGGGAAGAGACAAGGGGGTTATGTACCAATTGGCCAGTCTAGAGAGGGTTTTTTTTTTCCCTATACAAACCACAAAAATATTGGAATTTTAACAGATTGCCTGAAAAAATATCACATTAAGTGTAGGAAGTGGCAACATGCATGCATGCATGTTAACATTTTTTCTTATGATAGATGGTTCAAATTAACTCGAAGGAAAGTGTATTAACTTCGCCTTTGAAGTGTTTTGGTTGTAGCCAGTAAGACTATAATACATCTTTTATTATTGTAACCTGTGAGAGGGAAATATATAAACATCAAAGACGAACAATTTGCGGAAAATATAGGAAATATAAACAAAGCAAGATAAGAAGCCACTCGATGTTATTTTCTGGTGTTAACATACCAGCTTATTCCTTCTGTCTTTGCTTTTCTTTTTTAACCATTCCTCCTTTTTTTTAGTAATAAATAAACAGTTCTAGTAAATCTAACTTGAAACTAGGCCGAAGCAAAATTAAAAGCATACTTGAACAAAGATGGCAAATCGTTCAAAGACCTTGTTTAACAGTAAGCAGTTTATAATCCATCAATATTTGCTGCCTTTCATGCATGAAAAATAGTATTTACATGGTATTAAAATGACTCTTAAATTTGCACAATATTGTAATGTAGCAAATGCAGTATTAATATCGATTTGAACATCGGATAATTTATTTAGACAGGAGTATCTAATTTGTATGCAGGGTGGTCAAAGACGTGTACTTTGACTGCCCCCTTTTACTTTCAGTGCAAATGCAGTCTTGTAGTGTTGGAGGGAATATTTCTTAGCAAAGGATAAAATGCAGATCTTAAAACAAATGGGAGATTTACTGATTAGCCACCTCGACATTTTAGTGTATTTTATCTTAATAAGTCTTCTTGATGGAAACATGTTTTTCAAAAGTGACAAATAGACTGAGCAGTATTTATCAGTCTGATTTAACTTGAGTCTGTCTGCAGACTTGCATTCCATACTCACTCATTTCAGCATGTTCATCAGGAAACAGACCCATCTTTGAGAACCCTCCTGTTCTTAAACACATATTGAAAAAATCTTGGAAAATAGAGAAAGGACTGGTGTGATGTTTGATAATTACTAAAAGAAAAGACTCTTGAAAGGCGTTTGCCCCAAATGAAGAATGGGTTGGGTTTTTCCATCTTCCACCCTCCTCCCAATCTGGATTTAGGTTAGACCTGCAAATGGTGGCGTTTTATGAACTCCTTCTTTATATATTAAAATTAATATATTCAAATATATAATAAAATATTAGAGCCGACTTTGCTCCAACCATTGAGCAAAACGAGGAATGGGGTATAGGAAGGAGCAATGTTATTTGGAGCAGAATAACATGGGATATATTAGAAGATGGAAATACAGCTGTCAGTAGTAATTTACCCCTTTCCCTTACCCCCAAACACACATTTCCACTTTCGACTAAACTTGTTTTGATTGCTAGCCAGAGGGGAATTCATGGGAAGCCTTTCTCGAAGTCATCCAACTTTTAAGCAAACTTTGACGGATGGAAAAGACATTTTAGACATATTGTCCAAAACACTTTACTAAGGACTAAGTATTTAAAGCTGGCATGAGGCTATCGTGGTGTGTTTTTTACATTTGGGGTCCGGATCGTATATTTAATCTTTAAAATTCTGGACACCGTCCAAGAGCCGGGTCGTGACCCAAAATTACTTCCCGTTAAAAAAACTTTATTAATGAATGCACCCACATTTTCTTCTAATAAGTAAAACTTCCCAGGCAACATAACATAAATTCAAGTCATCTATTTGCAATGCAATGAGAACTTTGATTTCTAGTTATATGCCAGCTGATTACATCTATATTTTCGGAACACTAAACTCTTCCGCCCTACCATCAACTTTAGCCCAAAGGATAAAGCTGGAGTGTACTGAACAGTAATGGTTATTTATTTACATAATTTCTTTTCCATATACTGCAGGAAGAAATATTGAGCTCTCCCTTATTGACACATTGCCATATAAAATGTGAGACATACAGAATTTCCACACTTGCCCTCCCTTTCTTAGCTGAGATAATTCACGGATGGTAAATATATATTGCATTACTTCTTACACCTATTCCATTTTTCCGGCCTCAATAATCTAATCGAGTTTACACCATATGGGGGGAAGACTTCAGGGGTTCTAAACAACATTCAGATGCACACATATGCCTGGGCCATTTCAAATAATTAATAGATAGTATCTGTATTAGACATAAACACTTACAATTTTCTAATACGAAACTACAGATGTATTCTTCTCGCTTTCTAACGGCTTTCTCTAGCAAGTAACTTCCCAGTCCTGATTGTCCAATGACTCTGCACTGTAGGTGCACTTATCGTAAATATCTGATAAATATTTTACTAACCTTAAGGATATGACATATGGGACCTTAAAATCTGCTGGGCTATCTGTAAGACCCTTTCATATTGCATTGTTTGGAAGTTGAATAGGCTCCTATTGCATAATGAGCAGATGATACTTGTAAAATACCACGAGCTATGTAAATATGGAGTGTGATTTGTGGCAATCAGCATATGAACAAGACTGTGTTTTTGATACATATTTCAAACAAGATCAGGCCTTTTCTTTTGATATAGGTATAGATATAGCTATTGTGACCTGGTGCTTTAGATGTTGCATAATAACACTGCATTAAAGGTACAGTATGGATTAGAAAAACAGTCTGGCTTGGATAATAATGTATCTGAGGATGCCTAGTCCGTAGCTTAGGTCAAAGGTTCCTTTCCTCAGAAGTTCTTGAATCATAGCTTGTTTTATTTGTATTTTTGCTCGAGGCCATAGTATGGTAGATGAAGGTGTTCAGAAATCTTTTTATATTCCGTTCTTGAAACAGAAAGACATAAACTTCAGTTGCCAGAGATTTTTGCTTTGAATAATTTGTTGTGTCTTTCCAGGGTCATAATTTTACATTCCCAATTTTGTAATATCCTTTTGGGGCCATTAGCATGCATTAATTCATATACAGATCTATATATTAGCAAAATCTGGCTTTGATCTGTAGTAAACCGCACTGCAACTGACTGCTCGCCTGTGATCCTTGTGTTTGTAAAATATTTATTATTAATATACGTAACAATGTGGATATTTGAACTAGAGGGGCAAATCCATCATATTTCACTGACGGTAGTTTCCTGAGCAAGTCTCTCAACTAATCAGCTGCTACGCAGTAATTCGCTGGTGTGGGATAGATAGATAGATAGATAGATAGATAGATAGATTAGATAGATAGATAGCAGTTTATGGTCTTAGATGAATAGTATGCAGTTTCCGGGTATAAGGGATATATTCTGGCTCTATCTATGAAATATAAACATATATGAAGGATATATTTCTGGTTACATTTAGGGAATGCTCACGCACTGCGGCCGCTTCCAGCTTTATATCTGATAGCTGCAGCTGTCTGCTTAGCACAGTCTGGAGTAACTGAGCCATATTTCTCTAGATTATTATACAGTTTACAAAGATGTGACTGATTTTCAATCACTTGAGCCCAGCTACAGAGAGCAGTGCAGCCTGTCTCCTTGGCATTGCACTGCAGATGCCGGGCAAGCCCCACCAAATCCCATCCTGCGAACGCATTTTGTTCTGATTTCTAGCCGTGTCCACAAACGCAGTGTGTCTGGATGACTCAATGACTGCATGTGTTTATTTAACATGCGGCATAGACGAGGGTCACATTGCCTATAAATGCAAACAATGGCTCTCCTGACTCTGTTTGAGTTATTGTCGTGGTACACTACTCCGCAGTGTGTAGATTAAACCAAAATCATAAGCATCATAGTCCCCTTCCTCCTTTCTTCCACCTCCCTCCCCCGACAGAAGACAGGTTTCTGTGGCTGGGCTGTGTGGCTTACATGCGGCATAGACGAGGGTCACATTGCCTATAAATGCAAACAATGGCTCTCCTGACTCTGTTTGAGTTATTGTCGTGGTACACTACTCCGCAGTGTGTAGATTAAACCAAAATCATAAGCATCATAGTCCCCTTCCTCCTTTCTTCCACCTCCCTCCCCCGACAGAAGACAGGTTTCTGTGGCTGGGCTGTGTGGCTTTGCACACACATACAGCGTCTTACATTATTTATTTCCAAGGTGGAGGAGGAAACACAAAGGGAGGTTTTGCCTGCGCGTCTCTCTGGCTGTCGGCGTGGGGAATCTGCCCGGGTGCACCGAGGGGTGTGATGGTTGGACGGGGCGACGGGATGGTGTGTTTCGACCGGGGTGTGTGCGGTGTGCTCGCTTGCCTTACTAACGGTTTGCTCCCCTTGTCTCCTCCTGGTGTGTGGCTGCCTGGGCAGATGCCTGTGGCCTGTCAGATGCTGCCCATATCGAGAGCCTGCAAGAGAAATCTCAATGCGCCCTGGAGGAATATGTGAGGAGCCAGTACCCCAACCAGCCGAGTCGCTTCGGCAAACTGCTCCTGAGGCTGCCTTCCCTGCGCACCGTCTCCTCCTCAGTCATCGAGCAGCTCTTCTTCGTCCGCTTGGTAGGTAAAACCCCCATTGAAACCCTCATCAGAGATATGTTACTGTCTGGGAGCAGCTTCAACTGGCCTTACATGTCTATCCAGTGTTCCTAGAGCACAGCCAACACCCCCAATAGAGACACTGAGGACCAACACAGACAGAAATAAACGAACCGAGTAAAAGTTGGGGTGCAGAGAGGGGGGGAAGCAGACAATAAACAAAACAAAAAGAGAAAGACTCGTGTAGGATCAGATCTGTGACCATGTTTGAAAGGAAAAGAAAGCAGCTTGTGTCTGTGGAAAATTTTGGAAAAAGGACCGAGGGGATTTTAATAAAACCAGAAGGAGAATAATGGATCTTCCAGCATTTATTGTGGACTGATGTGGATATATTCTGTACAGAAACAAAGAAACCAACAAAAATATTGACGCTGAACTGAATCTTGTGTAGAAAACACACACACGCAAACACTTACCACGAACATTGTTATTCATTTTGTAAAATATTAGTCTTTATTTTCATTTTTTGGTAAAATTTAAGACATCGTATGCGCATAAAGAAAAAAGAAACAAGAATTAGGGGAAATAACATTTCCAAATAATTATAAAAAACAATTGTCCTGTGTCTATGTATCTATATCTGTTTTGTATTTTTTTCTGGTTCCAAACCAGGTTTCCTGTGATTCTATACTAATAATTTTTGATATAACCCTTTGCTTCTTATAATGAGTGCGATATATGTTGTCGAAGCTGTTCTTCAAGAATTAAAATTGAAGTGAGAATTTAAACAAAAATAAAAGAATTTAGCAAAAAAAATTCCATTAGTCTTGTTGCTTGACCATGCCAACAGTTTACAAACGTATAAACCCTACCCTTTAACTTCCAGTGGGATTAAATGGGAGAACTTTTAAAAACAACTTTTAGGGGGCAACAAAGTTGTATAAAACGCACAACGTTCCAAAAGTGACTTGATTGTGTAATTTAGGATTTAAAAGACAGATGGGAACACAAACAGTTCAATGTCACAGATGAATCAAATTATCTGCGATTGTATCTGAAAGCTAAGTGCAGATGACCTGGCCAACGCATTTGGAAGAAAAAAACCTTCCTTGTCAGTTGAAGTTTCTGCTAACTTTGCACAGTGCTGTTTCCTTTTAGAATTCATGAGCAAGGTTTGGAGTCACTATACTCTACCAGCATTGTACAGTGTGCAATATAAGGTATACTGTAGCCATTTTGCCCCTTATTTGTTTGTTAAAGGCTTGGTGGGGTGGTTTCCCCAAGAATTCAAAGACTCAACACTGTGTGTTCTGATTGTGTGCTGCATTTGCTGTCACTGCTAAAAGGAACAGTGTTACTGTTTTTCGCTTCTCTAGTCACAAAATGTAAAGGGCATGCCTATCCTATTAATTCAAGCTAACTGAAGGTTTGCTTGTTGGGTGGTGTATATGTGTGCCTGTAAGTGTATAGCACATACAAACACACACACATCCTATGTGAATTATTGTGCTGTAGCTTTATAAAGTGAAAATGTGAGAAGTGTGCAAAAGCCCCGTTTTTTTAATTTAAAAAAAATTGTTTCCATAATGGAGCCTCTTTGAAGATGAAGGCTTCACAATGCTTCTAGCTGGTGGTGCTGATCTCTGTAGCAGCTTTCAGTGCATTAATGTTTTATAGGATCTGAGACGGAGCTGTAAGAACACATACTGCCAAGGGAGCTCTTTCTTAACGTATTAATAAAGCTGGATCTTTTAACAATAACATCCCCTCACACACCTCCCGCGCCCTCCAAACAAGCCCGGATGAAGCAGGTTTTTCTAACAGAGGAGTGATCGGCAATGGTTTTCTCTTAATTTACTGCCCAGATTTGTTTTAGGGGTGGGGTTTTTTGTTTGTTTTTGGGAGGGGGGGTGGTTGCATTAACACGATCCTTCAATCCAACTCGCTTGAGTTTTTAATATTCTAGGCGCAGCAGATTCGAAGCGAGAGCAGGTCTACACAGTAAGCACTTACAGCTGGAGCATCAACATTGCGGTGCAGACTTTCTATGGGGCTAGAGTCAGTTTCAATATGGAGACGCAACCTGTCTCCCTCGTAGCCGCTGTGTATATGATTGTTGTAACTCAGGGCACATACGTGTGGGAATTAAACGCAACTTTGCCCAACTTACCTGAGCTCTATAGAGATAACAGCTCCGTTCCTCATCCCTGGCTGACTTCACCAGGCGGAGAGCGAAGTTACACCAACCTCACGGGGGGAAAAAGAGAAAGGCAGATACTGAACACAGACGCTCAGCACTTGGAAACACTGAAATAATCCTTCGCCATTGTTTTTGGTGGGAATGGCTGCTGGGGGATGCAGTGTGGCTCTAAGCAAAGAGAGATCTAGCTTTCCGCCAATGAGATGTAAATATATTCATTACAATGTTATCCCACTAGTGAAAACAGATAAACTTTTTCGTAGGTCAGAAACGTATTTTTCAATTAATGGTCATGTTTAGGAATAACAATAGCCCACTGATTGCCACCAAACGTGCAGGTTAGATGAGGTGTACGAGCTGCAGTTATTGCCATATATGTGATTAGACAGAAGTGTTTAATTCCCTTATTAAAGTGTTGCTGATCTATGGTATCCAGTTCTGAAGTGTTAACTATAAACTATTTATTGTGGGCGTGAACATTTTCTTTAGCCACTTTCAAAGTCCTTGGGCATTTATATATTTGCTGAAAATATTGTACCATTTGTCACAGTCGCACATTATATTGCGTCAATGTTCGTGTGGAGAAGGGTCAGGGCCCCTTCATAAGTTTTTGATGACTTGTTCTTACATACTGTGTACGGTTTTAAAAGCAGCTCGAGTTAAATTTGTCCTCGGTGCTATTTTGTGTAGCCTTAGACTCGTTCTTTGACTCCTTTGCACACGCACACGCACACTCCCCCCCTTAGAAAACTTTATAGATTTGATGGTGGTTGTGTTAAACACAGTCGGGTTTACTCTACTAGTTGCAAAAAGTACACCACAAATACTTCTTTACTAAGCAGCTAGTGTTTTCGCGGTACAGTAACAGGATGTGCCCATTAGAAGTTTGTCAGCAGTAGCACTCAGAAACCCAGCAATCTGTAACATATCTACTTATGCTAATGCAGGGGTTTAGAGAGCCCTGATAGCAACAGACACAAAAGGCTATATACCTTTGGCATCACACTCTCTAGCTGGACTCCTCCCACTCTCCCATTAAGCCTTCTCTAGTCAATCAAATAAATATTTGGAATTTTTTCCAAATGGCAAGGAGAACCACAGCTGATGTAAAGATTTCTGGAGAGACTGTCACGGATGACTTCTGACTCTTCGGGGAACTTCAATAAATAGTGCAAGTGTTACGGTTTCGTTGGTGTTGGTCTTGTGTTAAGTACGTGGAGGGAGGAATGGTATCTGACCTTTTCTTTTGCCTGTATATATTTCAATATGTGGCCACACGACTCTGGGGAGCATAGTTGTCCATGCTGCTCAGACAACTTGTGAGTCGAGTTTTGGCCGTTCTGAGTCAATCTCCTTAACCTGCCGAGAAGAAAGCGATTTGAAACATTTACAGGCTAGACAAGGCTCAAGTTCCCGTCAGTCCCTCAAAATGAGGTGGACTTTAAAAAAGCCTTGTAAGTGGCACATTTTACTGCAAGCTTAACACCACTGAACGGGGCGAATTAAATAATACGTTACAGAGGCAGGGTTTCCTATATGTAAAATGCTCTTTTAGAATGAAATAAATAATGGATATTATAGAAAGCGTTTTATCAATGCCCATGGCTCGAGGTCATGTTAGATAACATTAAAAGGTAAAAGTTAATAAAGGAAAAGTAAATTCAACTTTGTCTAATGTAAAGGAAACTGTGTTTGGCTCCAAACACAAAGAGAAAATGTATTTTAGCAGATGGAAAGGGCTTAACACAAAGTATCTTCTTTTTTTAAAAAATTACCTGTGACATATGAAAGTCAGACGTTTCCTTTTCAACAAAAACACTCACTGAGCGACTGAGAACTTTAGCTTCTTTGAAGTAGATTTAAACTGTTGTAGACACAAGCTTCACTTATAAATCAAAAAGGGGAAGCGCAGGGAAGTATCCCCAAGGAACTGCTAGACTAGTGCGAGTGCATATTATCCGCCTTGTGGAACAGCCTACTGGAATAGATAGAGCGAGAGATTTTTTTCCCACCAGTTACATCACCAATAATCAAGTGAAGAGACATTCATAAGCGATGTACTCTTGTGATATGTACCCAGTTATTACAAATCCTGGCGAGGTATTTCCTTGGTTTTCATGGGACATTTTGACTATTCAAAAGGCTAATGTGGAGCGTTTTTATACCCCCCCCCCCCCCCACCCCCCCCCCCCCCCGTCCCCGAATCTGAATCCGACCTTTTTGGGGCTTTATATCAGTTTTATTCTCATTTTAGAACCGGCAAGGTGCATCCCCACAATATTTTTTTAAAATCAGACGTGGCCATTTTCTAATTAGCGTCGCTGCCATTGGCTTTGATGTGGTTTTACATCATATGCGTCAGCGCAAACGAAATGTAATACCTTGCAATGATTCAGTGATTGCTTTTCTTAAACATTATCCTCTTCTCCAACACCTTATTCTGCCACCTTGCACACCAGCCGGGTTTCCCAACATCACTGAACTGATGATTCCTCGGAGGAAAGGGGACTCTGGGAACACAAGTGGAAACTAATCAAACTCTTGTTAAAGTCCTCGCTCAGGATCCATGGCGTCACCAGGTCTTCCACTTAGGAAGCCCAAGAGTTTTATTCCTAAATGAGTTAAAGAGCCATTTACCTCTGTCGTGTTCTATTCATCAAGCCACAAGTCGAGATTCCCTAACATGAAACTATTTGTTTGCTTACACAACCAGCTGGGCGCAATTTCACGTCTGAGATATCTATCTGAAAGCGCCTCTCATTTATTATCCCTCCTTGTCAGCGAAACCATTCCCCAACCTGGGTTTGCTTTTTTTCTTCATTGACGGATCTGGACTTAGATATCCCCCGAGATAGTTCGGTCTCCCCCTCCGATCCCAGCCCCATTCAGCGCAAAATAGCTGGAGAATAAGGAGGAAACGGCATACACAGATCACAAAGGCTTCTGTTGGCCAAGGTGCCTTCAATATTACAGCGATTCCTCATAACGCCCCCGGGTACCTGCTAGAGACTCGGTTAGAACTTATGGCTGGATGGCACTTCCGGCTGGATGTTTTCTCATCGTTCCTCTGGTGCAAGGTGCAACCACCTGTGAAACAAATTAAAGCAGGTCTAGGGTGGGCAAATAGTCTTTTATGTCCCTGTCAGTTACAAGTACAACATATGGCTGGGAGCTGCTGTAAGGTTTCACGGTGTAAAAATCTACGACCTTGGTGATTGGGGCCAGTTTATTGCTGCTGACCTGGCTACAGTTATAGCTAAAATAGAAATACCTGCATAATTGGGCAAGGAAGTGCCCTTCATAGCGGGGATAGGGGACTGGTATCTTTCTCCCACCCCCACGTGCTGTCCATTCGCAAACCAAGGCGCAACGTGAAATATACCAAATCGCTTTGCCAGGGTGATTGCTAGTAAATAAAACAATTAGTAAAGAGGGGAGTTGGGAAACAGCATCGTCTTCCCCCTCTTCCCCCAATTTTGAAAAATAAGGCTACTGTGAGGAGCGTTTCAGAGCCGTGCGGGCTGGGCGACAAGAGGAGCAGGCTTACTAAGCTCAGTGATGGCTGTATAATAGTGTATATACATCTCCTTGCCTGCAGAGCCCTCCATCAAGCTTAAAGCAATGGATCAAATCCAGATCCACAGGATATAAAATAGCCCCAGTTGTAAAGAAGGAAGGGAGGGCTCTTCTTTAAGGGAGGCCAGCCTGGTTGCTGTAAGCTATCCTATTGTGTTGATTTAGGGAGACATTTGCTGTATATAACGTTTAAGGCTGATAATATCATTGCTCGGCCAGATAAATCAAGCATTGGCCAAACCGTAGGGTCAGCTATCGATCCCTATACTTAAAGAGACTCTCTCTGTGAGTGTGTGTGTGTGTGAGGAGAGGGAGAGAGGGGGGGTGTGTGCGCGTGTGTGTGTGTGTGTAAGAGACACAGCGATTCGATGTATATAGGAGCTGAGGCAGTGTGTGTCTGAGAAAGGGGGCTGCGTGTCTCTGTGTGAGAAGCACACAGGGATACTCTGTGAGAGTGTATTTCAGATCACACTGTGTGGGTGGAGGCGAGAGAGGCTCTCTGTGTGTGTGAGAGAGAGAGAGAGAGAGAGAGAGTTTGCAGCCTGTTCTGCAAAGGCTCATTAGCATTCCCTGTCTTCCCAGGGACCTGCACTGACAACTAACAGAGATATCCAGCTCACCACCAGGCCTCTTCTCCTTTTGTCTTCCAATCTCTTCCAGAAACAGATTTATATGTGGGATCTGTACAGTGACCTTCCATTTGGTTCACTGGGATGCAGCGTATAAAAAACAAGCGGGGGACATACCTGTTTTTGGCCCCGAGCTGTACAACTGTGTTTCCATTCCACTTAATGAACTTGCGATGTGGATGCATATTTAACATCTGCAACACTTGTGGCGAGGGGTTTAAAAGTGTTTGCTACTTTGCCTTAGTCTTGGAGAAGGAAGCATTGCTGTGGTTTGCTCATGTGTATATGTTCTCCCTGCTGTCACTTAAGATCAAATAAGGGCTGATTTTTTTTTTATTGAAGGATAAACCGCACTGATTGCTCTTTTAAAGCAGAAGTGATACACCACTGTTTACTTTTTGCCGTGGTTATTTGTCGGTTAAAGTATTTCGTGAAATATTTTGTTTCTTGAAACAATTCTACACACACAGCCAGGGGAAAAGAGGAGTTCTGACTTTAAGCCAAAGCCCAGGAGGTTTTTTAAACTTCCACATTTGGGCCAAAAACATCCATTTGAAACTGCATTCCCGAGGATAAAGTGTGCACACAAATTACTGCAAACTAAATGCTATTCCCTGAACTTATAAATAAAACTAGTCAGGTATTTTTCCAGCGAGCGTACAAATTAGTCCATGTTGACAGATGTTTGTCACTTAGTAACTTCTTTCCAAGTTTTTTTTCCCTCCCTCTAAGCCTTCTTTCGGGCTGGCTTTGTTGTTTTAAAATATGCATGTGT